CCTGGGTCAGAGGAGGACGAGGCGGGCAGGCGTCGTGGTTGCAGGTCTCCGCGGCCTGGTCGTCGAATTTACCCTGGCGGGCCACGAGGGGCGATTGCGATAGTTGGCGGCGAGCGAGGGGGGGAGGTGAGACAGAGAAAGCATTCTCAGAAGGCGGCGGGACTTCTCTGAAGCCCTCGCGCCTTCTGAGAAAGGTTTCGTGTTTTCGAGGAAGGCTTACAAAACTTCTCAGGAGCCTTCCGAGAAGGCCCGCCCCTTCTCACTTCCTCCCGGGCGCGCCTCCTAAGTAGATAGGAGTACTCGTTTCCGCAGGTAGGCTGGCCACCGCTCTCCCTAGAGCATCTCACACCCTGCGTTTTACATAGTCTCGCCGTGCGGCCAGACCGCGACCATCCCCTGGTGCAGGCGCATGTCCTGTTCGTTTGCCCTTCTCCAGGAAGCAACATCAACAGGAGACGGGGGAGGCAGACTCGGAGTTAATGTGAAGTCAGCTAAGGACCCCAAGAATATATACCACCACCACGTCGATGCTTCCTCCCTCCTCTACCCTCCTCTTCCTCTCGCTCTCTGGAAAAGGGAGGGGGTGAGGGAGGTGGTGGTGGTGGTGGTGATGTATATTGTTGGGCCCCCCATGGCCTGGGGCTGCGAAGAGGGCCGCGCGTCGCGTCCGCCAGAGACCGCTGATCTCGAGGACGGGGCTCGTGACCGCCGTTGCCTACACCTCCCACGAGAGCGCGGAGCGGCTGAGCCTGGGCAGGCTGCAGCACCTGCGCGCCCAGGACGAGGTCAGGGAGCCGACCAAAGTGCCTACTCCTCCTCCTCCTCCCCCTCCTCCCCCTCCTCCTCCTCCTCCTCCCCCTCCTCCTCCTCCCCCTCCTCCCCCACATCTTTTGCACTCTGGAGGTTGGCTGGCAGCGGCGCACTGGAAAAAAAATCCCCCTCCTCCCCCATCCTCCTCCTCCTCCCCGCCGCCGAGTTGTGGTAAAGCCGCGCCGCCCCAGCGGGGCGGCAGCGACACCGCTCGCGTTCCAGGCCGACGGCCGGGTGGCCTTTTGCAGGCCTCCGACCGCGGGGGCCGTCCGATTCGGAACGGGCCGCGCGGCGACAGCAGCTCGAGCCCACGCCGTCACGGGGGGGAGCCCGGCGTGCGCGCGAGGGCGCCTGCCGCTGCGGCGAGGGCTTCCGGACCTCGCGGAGCGAGCCCCGGGGCGGGCGAGGCCGCAGGCAGGCGAAGGGGGCCAGGGCGTCGCCCTGGCACACCGCAGGTTTTTGTTGGGGGCCCCAGCCCGTCGTTCTGGGTCTGCCTGCATGTCGCCCGCACGGTGCGCGCACGTGTCGGGGGGGGGTCTGCGGCGCCGCGCGGTGGAGGGTGAAGAGTCAGGCTGAACAGCGGGGCACAGACACGAGCGAGCGAGCGTGAATACCATGTCAGGTATGATCAGCAGCGACGAGACGGCGACAGCACAGCCGCCACACCAGCCGCACGGCCCAGACGACGGGCGGCGACGGGGCGGCGACGGCAACAGCATAGCCGCCAGATCCGCCTCACGGCCCAGTTCCTTGGAAAGCAAGTGAGACACCCGAAGTGCACGCCTTGCTCGTGTAACATTGGAAAAAATTGGACATGGAGGGGATGACGACAATCCTCTAGGCCTCCCAGATAGGGTCCGAGCAGATGGGATCCCAGGATCGCCCCGCATCGCCCATGCATTGACGATGCGGCTCGACATGGCGCCAGATTTTCTCCACGCCACTATGGCGCCGATGCATCGCCGTCGCCGCCGATGCATTGGCGAGGCGGCGCGGTCCTCCGGCCCCATCTGCTCCGACCCCATCCCGGACCCCCGACGCCGTGATTGTTTGGCAAACCCCCGACGCCATGATCGTTTGGCAACGCCGACCCCCAGAGGTCTGGACCCCCTCCAGGGGACAGTTTTTTTCGACCAGGGTAGTTTTTCGACGGTTCCAAGCCCAGGAAGGGCCCCTGGAGGAAGAAAATAGCGAAAACCCTCCCGTTGCAATCTTTTACAACGCGAGGCGGCCTCTAAATCCAGACAGTCTCGGCCTCTTAGATGGGGTCGAAGTAGATGGGGTCAGAGGATCGCGCCGCATCGCCGATGCATTGCCGAGGCGGCTCGACGTGCAGCCCATATTGCTTGACGTCGACGTCACCGATGCATCGCCGACGTCGGCGATGCATCGCCGGTGCATCGCCGATGCATCGCCGATGCATCGCCGATGTGTCGGCGATGCGGCGCGATCCTCCGACCACATCTACTCCGACCCCATCCTTGGCATCGCTCGGACGTGTGCGTTTTTTCCTCGGCGAGGACCATCGAGGAGCATCCTTGATCATTTGGCGAAAAACACACGCACGAAACCGAAAAAACACAGGGAATGGACGTCCGAGCGATGGCGAGCATCGAGGAGGCCTCTAGACAGGCCCTGAGCCCTTCTGAAGAGAGGGGGGGCGTGTGCGGCGGGCCGCTCCCTCCTGCGA